TTGTAGGGTATAAATCGGTGCCCAAAGAGACGACGAGAAGACCTGATGAATATAGCTACAGAGGTCTCACTGAGATTAGTCTCTTTTTTTTTTTTTTTTTGGCAGTACTGGAGATTGACCTCATGAGCTTGAACTTGTCAGCCAAGCATTATTCTACTGAGCTATCTCCCCAGCCCTAAGATTAGTCTCTACGTTGTCCTGAGCTAGGGAAATCCTTACATTTAAAAGAACAAACAGAGAGGTGCCTCCAGGAATGTGCCATTGCCTGCATCCCAGGTTGCTGGAACCAGCACGGGGTGACACATTTCCTCAGGCTTTTATTCTTAGGTTCTGTTCTTTGTTCCTTGCTTTCTAGGGACAATCTTTAGCTTATGTCACTACACTCCTGTCTGCCATTACTGCCCACTCTCCACTGGCCATAGGGGACAGCCCAGAAGCCAGGGAACACTGGTCTTTTGGGGCCATGAGACCAACCCCTCAGTGGCATCACACAAGTCCTTCCTGCCTTGACCCTGCTCTCAAATGGGTCTCTTCCTGCAGCCCTCCTGTCACGCACCACTGGGGCCAGGAGACAGGATGTGCTCAAGCCTGTCCTCCATGCCAATCCTCTCTGCTGGCCAGGCCACCCAACTCCAGTTCATTATTTCTCCTACTCTCATCCCTCGGCTACCAAAGAGTGCCTCTTTTCTTTTTCTTTTTTTGGCGGAACTGGGGATTGAACTCAGGCCCTTGCACTTGCCGGGGAAGCGCTTATTCCACTGAACCGTCTCCCTGGCCCACGAAGGGTGCCTCTTGCTCTGTCTTCACCTCCAACCCATGTCAGTCCTATTCTCTAACATCTCTTCACCTCTGGATAGAACAAAGCAGTGATGGAGAATCTTTAAGAAACCGAGTACTCAAACTGCAACCCTAAACCTACTTGTTTATTGCAAAGTGCTAACACCGCCCCCGTGTGCACTGTTAATTGATGCTTGGCTGCTGTGCGGTGCTGGGGTCCTCTGGCTCGAGTGCTGACAGAGAAGAGTCTTCATGCTCGTTGAAGCACATGTGCCATAGGCTTGCTATCACCGGACTAGAGGATGAACTCTCAGCCTGCCTATGCTATGCTAAATAATAGACCCCCCCCCCAAATACAGTATCTAGGTCACAGTTCCCAGAAGCTACAAATATTGGTATACAGAAAAAAGAACTTTGCAAATGTGATTAGGATTTTAAAATGGAGAAATTATCCAGTTGGGCCATACATATGATCAACCATAGCCAGGCATGATAGCATACAACTGCAATTGTTGCACTCAGGAGGCTGAGGTAGGAGGATAGCTGCAAGTCTGAGATCAGCCAGGGCTATATAGTGAGTTCGAGGCTAGCATGAACTATGCAGTGAAACCCTGTCTCAAAAAACCAAAACACAAACAAAAGCCAAGCACAAATATTCTTATAGGAGATATGCAAAAAATCTGACTGTAGAAGACAGAAATGCCAGGTCTACAGCTTGGCTAGAGGCAAGGAACAGTGAGGCTCATGCCAGAGTTTTAATTTTTAGGCTAAATGTGTGTTGTCTTCATCCATCAAGTTTGTAGTGATTTGTGATGGCCGCTGTGAGAAATTAAGATACTGGAACTGACAGCCCTATACTTTTGGACCTGGCTCTTGTGGTGGCTGGCTCCTGTGGGCAGGGTGGACCGATGTAATGTAGGTCACTGTGGAGAAGACAGTGAATTCAGAGTCCAGTCATGCTCGGCCTCCCACCTCACCATTCTCCATCCTGTGGAAAGCCAGAGCCTGCCATGTTGTGAAGTTTCCAAGCAGTCCCACAGAGAAGTCCACAAAGAAAGAACTGAGTCCTCAAGGAAAGCATCCTGAAGGTGGATTCTCTAGATCTCATCAAGTCAACCAGAAGCTTTGAACTGAGCTACATACTAAACTCTTGCTAAGTCACTAAGCTGCAAAATGACACAGGCTAGGCTCAAACTTGCGATCTTTCTGTCTCAGCTTCTTACAGTGCTGGTGTCATGAGACACGTGCCACCACACCTGGCTGAGTGAACTGTCTTGAAGGTAGATCCTCTACCCTACCCATGACTGGAGTGACTTGCTTTTGCTGATACTGGGGGCTGAACCCAGGAGTTTGTGCACACCAGGAAAACACTCTTTTTCAAAAAAGAATTAAAAAAAAAAAAAGTATTTAGTACAGGGTCTACAGGGTCTCACTACACAGATTGGACTTGTAGTGATTCGCCTGTCTTCGGTCTCCCAAGCCCTGGGATGACAGGTGCACACCACCATGCCCAGTCTCGATCGCTGTCTCAGAGCACCCTGCAGGAAGGGCTGTGTAGTGGTCAATACATGTGGTGAACCTGGTCCCTGCACTCTGCCTAAACAGGTGCTTTAGTTCGCTGAGCTATCTGGCTGGCCCTAGGCAAAAAACACTCTTAACACTGAGATACCTTTCCAACTCTTTCTGTTATATTTTCAGACAGGGTCATTCTACGTTGCTCTTGCTGGCTTTGAACACGTGGATCTCCTGTCTGAATGTCCCAATTAGTTGGGATCACAGTCAGGTAAGCACCACACTCAGATGGGCTTCACCTTGACATCTTGACGTAACCTCAAGAGCCTGGGCCAGTACCTAAATCCATGTTTTTAAGGTTGTTAAATAGCAACAGACAATTAATACACTTTTTCTCATGCCTTTCTTACTACTTATCCCTTGCCAAGAACAAACGACTGTGTGATTACATTTTTTTTTTTTTTTTTGGTGCTGGGACTCAACTCAGAACCTTGCGCTTGCCAGGCAGGCGCTGTGTTGCTGAACTATATTTCCTGCAATTTGGGTACAACACACATGAAAAGTTACAATGTAAACTGTCAGTATTTTCACTCTGAGTACCAAATCTGAAAAGTAAACGCTATAAATAAACCTAAAGAAAACACAACTTCAGGTGCCAAGTTTGAGGACAAGTTGCTCGTGGCTCCTGCTACACTGGGGCAGCTGGCTCGTCCCAAGCGCAGTGCTCTCCCGGGGCGACGCCCCGCCGCTGCAGCCACAGGTCCGAGCGCAGGGCCGGCGCGGCCCCGCCCACCCACGTCACGCAGCCCACGCCACGTCCGCGCGCCACGCCCTCACGCGTCCGGCCGGCCGCGCCCCGGGGCGAGAGGTCCGCCCCAGCCCCGGAGGCTAGGCCCGTCGGGGTCAGCGCCGGCGGGGTCCCGCAGGAAGGAGCCCGGGGGAGAGGACGCCCCGCGCGCCTGCGCCTGCTCCCGCGCCTCGCCGGGGACGTGGGCCGGCCTAGCCCCCGTCACGGTTATTGTTACCTGGAGCCGTGCCCCCGGCTGCCGTGCGCCCACCCCCACGGCCGCCATGTGGCTCTCGGGGTCCATCCTGTGCTCGCGCAGAAAGCCCCGGGGCCCGAGGTGACCCCCAGGCTCGATAGTGCCCCCAGCCGACGAAGCCGTCCGCCCCGCGGCCCACCGGACAATGGCGGCTGCGCGGGCCGCTGCGCCTACAACTCCCAGAAGGCCGTGCGGCGCCGCGGCGGACCAATGGGAGCTCCTACCCGCTGGGCCGCCCCTCAAGGGACGTTTGGCCTCTTGGCCAATGGGAATTTCGTGCTCCGGCTTTCCACCCACCGGCTAATCTGGTTCATTGGCCAGAGGTAAATCTTATCTCCTGGCTTTCCACCAATCCGGCGGTCTGGCCCCTCCCGCGGCCGCCAGCTGAGGAGGAGGGGCGGCTGGCGGGACCCTCGTGGTGGGAGCGGTCTTCGCGGGCTGTGTCCCGCTTCATTTTCACCTGCAGGGCTGCGGGCGGGTGGAGACTGCGCTGGGATGGCCGGTTCCCTTCGAGCCCACCAGTTTTTCGTCTGCTACGTGCACCTCTGCTGCTTTTGCCCAGCATCAAACCCACATTCGAGGACTTGGAGCGGTGGGTGGGAGTGGGGGAGTGTGGGTGGGGGAGGTGGGGATTGGTGGTGGTGGGAGTGGCCAGGCATGGGCGGGCGAGAGCTGGTCAGAACGGCTGTGGTGCCAGAGGACGGACGAGAGGGTCGCAAACTGGAGTCCCACTTGGGCAGTGTAGTGAGCCATTATCTGAAAAGATAAAAAAGGACTAATGATGTAGTTAAGTGTTGAGACCCTAGCTTTAAACCCCAATATAATCAGTCGAGTTCACTAAATTCCGGGGTGCAAGTGGCAAAAGTCACACCGCAGTGAGGCCGTCTTCACTTTGCTTGATACTTCAGAGAGACCATTTAGAGGTAGATTGTCACTCGTGCATTCAGTGAGGGGCATACCAGCAAAGATGGTGATCAGTTGGCATAATAGCTTTTCTTTCAAGCATCAAAAATAAGAGGAGCCCATTTTAGTCCCTAAGGAGGTGTTTTCCCCTTTCCTTACTCGCTTTGTGGTACTGTCGTGTGGTAGAGTAATGGACAACTTCTACCACCCAGCTGAACTGGATCAGCGGGTGCTCAGTGTGGAGGGCCCTCCTGAAGACTGTTGCCAACAGAATAAAAAGGAGAACTGGAGAGTGGGGGGTGGGCTGGTGATTCTTCTGGAGAAACTTGTCACGCTGGTTTTCCTGACATGAACTCAGCTGTTTTCATGGAGTTGAGTCCTTGCTGTCACTGAGGATGGCTGTGCAACACTTTGGGGGAGCTGCGGTCCTTGGGGGCTGCTTCCTGGCTCCAGCGCAGATCTTGCGGCCTGCTGGTACAGATCCTCCATCCTGCTGGTGCAGACTTTCTAGCTTACGCCACTGACCTTTGGTCATTCCTATTGCAGGTCCTTGGTACAGCCTTGCATGACACATTGTGGTGAGTCCTAGGCCTCAAGTTAGACTTGTGGAGGACATTGCCATGGACTCTAGGTTTTCAGCAGGACCCAATGCCAGACATTGCTGTCGGATCCTGGCCCTCAGCTGGATTCATTTGATCTCTAGTGTGTGGGCAGATCTGCAGTCTTTTGCCTCTGACTGTTTGACTGACTATTATAAAATACTCCTATAAATTATGTATCTTGTATTAAATTGTTTCCCTTATAAACTCTGAGATGAGGATTGTATCATTTCCACTAAACTACAGCCTAGCCCTTGTAGTTTTTATTCTGAGACAGTCTCACTTATGCCCAAACTGGGTTTGAACTCATGATCCTCCTGCCTCAACCTTCTGTTCTGTATCGCAGGGTAACTCTAGATTCCTGCATCTCTATTTTATCTGAACTGATCAAGTTATTGAGACTCCGTGGCAGAAAACAGATGGCCAGAGTTTTCCTGTCACTTCCCATTGAGTTGGAATTTTTTTTGTACTGTGAATTGAGCCCAGAGCCTTCACACTTCTCATCCTTGTTTTTAGTTTTTATATTGAGACTGCATCTCACGTAATCACTAAGTTGTCCAGAAAGGCCTGAAATGGTGATCCTTCTGCCTTAGCCTCCCAGAGTGCTGGGATTACAGATGTGTGCCATGAGGCCAGCCTCTGAGTTGGGATTTGTTTTCCTTCCTCGTGCCTCTGACTGGGGTGTCCTTGCCTGCTTAAGTGGCAGAAGTGCTTTTGTGCTACTCCTGAGGCTATGTGTTAAAGCACCTCGCATGTCCTGCTGAGCCTGTTGGACATTCCTCGTGGAGCTGGCCACTAGGCTGAGAGCCCAGGCTGCGAGGAGGGTCTCACATGGTGTTCTGCATGGGCAGAGCGGTGGTTGCAGACAGTTGCAGAGCTCAAGTGGCAGCTCTGGAAAGAGCTGTATCAGGCAGAGTCCACAGCATGGAGCCAGAAGACTGAGCCCCAGGGCAGCATTGGGGTCCTATTTGCTGGATACCCATGCAGATGCCCAGTGCTGAGGGGCACAGGTCATGCACATGGATCACTGCACTCCATCCTTTTCACCCCCATGCCATTAGCTCTTTGCCTCCCCCAGGGAGAAAGGTTAGGCTCAGAGCCAAATGACCACCTTTCTAATTTTCACTGCAAAACTAGACAACTGTCATGGATCAATTTGTACATTTTCTGACACAATTTGTTTACCTTGATGTTTCTGATAATTTTTTTTGATTCAGGAGAAGAAACATTTCTTTCAAAAAATACATATTGTTTTCATGGTTTCAAGATTGCTCTCTCCAGGCTTCCCATCGAACAAGATGGGTGAAAAAAATGGAGAGGCCAGACACTAAAGAGAAGAAACCCAAAGCCAAAAAGGTTGCTGCCAGTGGCACTGGTAAGAAGGGTAAGGTGAAGGCAAAAAAGTCCAAGAAGGGACAGCCCCACTGTAGCCGAAATCTTGTCCTGGTTAGAGGAATTGGTAGATATTCCTGATCTGCTGTGTATTACAGAAAGTCTTTGTACAAGAGAAAGTGCACAGCTGCTAAATCAAAGATTGAGAAGAAAAAGAAGGTTCTTGCTACTATATCAAAACCAGTCAGTGGTGACAAGAATGGTGATACCTGGGTGATTGAGCTTTGAAAAATACCGAGATACTACCCTACTGAAGATGTGCCCTGAAAGCTGTTGAGGTATAGTGTTGGGAGCCACAGGAAGCTAAGAAATTGATCAAATGTATGTAGGTGGGACTGGGCCTCAGTGGCTAAAGGAAACAAGCTACCTCAGTCCTCAGAAAAACATCCTGTCTGGTTCAGGCCAGCTATTAGTCACTAGGCATCCTTGTGTCATGTGTTACAAACTTTGCAAAAGTATAAAGGATCGTTTTGTTGTGTGTGGAATTAGTCTTGCCCATCAAGTGGACTAGCGGCCATCTAGCCCAGCTTTTGTCTTGTCTATCTTATCCTGCTGCCATGTCTCTCCAGGTAGAACCATTTGTAGTAAGACCAATGGATCCCTACACTTGGCACCCAAACAGGATGCCCAGTACGAGGTAAGTGTGGTACAACATAGCAAGAAACACTTCAGTCAGCATGTGAGGAAATTTCGAGCTAGCATCACTCCCGGCACCATCTTGATCATCCTCACTGGGCATCTCAGAAGCAAAAGAGTGGGCTTCCTGAAGCAGTTGGCCAGTGGCTTGCTACTTGTGACTAGGCCTCTTAGCCTTGTGTTCCTCTATGAAGAACACACCAGAAATTTGTCATTGCTACATCTCCAAAAATGTGTATCAGCAAAGTGAAAATCCCCAAACACTTCACGGATGCTTACTGCAAGAAGAAGCAGCTGCGGAAGCCCAGACAGCAGGAGGGCGAGATCTTTGACAGTGAGAAAGAGAGACACCAGATTTCAGAGCCACCCAAGGTGGGTCAGAAAGCGGTGGACTCAGGTTTGACCAAAAATCACAGCTGTTCCTCAGCTCCAGGGCTACCTGCGATCTGTTTTTGCTCTGACAAATGGAATTTATCCTCATAAATTAGTGTTCTAAATTTCTAACAACCTAATTAAATAATCAATGCATTTTTTAAAAAAGGTTCCTCTCTTCGGAAGCAGTATCTTGTGCTGCTTCTCCTTCCCTTCCTCTTTCTCCTCTTTCTCCACCTTCAGTCCCTCTTCCCCTCCCCCCACACTTTGCAGCGATCTTCACTCCCAGTCCTTTTCATTTTGAGACAAGGGCTCCCTAAACTGCTAAGTTTCTGAAGCTGGGCCCAAACTTGCTGTCATTCTACCTCCGCCTCCCAGAGTGTTGGGAATGATGGCATGTGCAACCACTCCAAGTTGACATCTCTTTCTAACTGTGGTGACTGCGGCTTTTCCTGTCATATGGCCATATGGATATTATTAACCCTTGGTGGTATTTGGCATGATCGGAAGTCTTTTCATTTTGGAGTCTGTTCTTATGGTTATAAATATTTTTTCTGTAGCATCTTAGTCTTTTGTCATCCTATCTTGATTTTTTTTTTTTTTTTTGGTACCGGTAATCAAGCTGTGCTTGCCAGGCACACACTGTGCAGCTGAGCTATATCTCCAGCCCTCTTGAATCATTCTTAGAATATTAAAACATTTCAAATATTTGGTTCCTGTGAATTTCTTCTTTCTTTCTTTCTTTCTTTCTTTCTTTCTTTCTTTCTTTCTTTCTTTCTTTCTTTCTTTCTTTCTTTTCCCCTGTTTTAGTTTCTTTCTGTTGTGTAGAGACTTCCTTCAAGTCTTTATCCCCTGGCCTCTGTCTAGCCTAAGGAGGCCACTGCAGTGCAGAGGACAGCCCTGTGGGAGGGTGAAGCTAGCTCCATGATATGCTCTGCTTGGGGTAAAAATGCAGCTGTTGGGATAAAAGCCCTTGATACCCATGTTTATAGCAGCATGATTGATATAGATGGGAGGAGGGGCGAAAAGGGAGGAGGATGTGAAAAAAAAGATGTGTTATGCTCATGAACCAACATTGCACAAGGAAAGCAATCATTATGCACTGCAAACATACTAATAAAAAATAAAAATTGGAAAAAGCCCTTGGAATGCCAGAACTGGACTGCCCTTGAAAGCATATATTCTGTTGTCTACAGACCAGTTTGCTGCACAGAACTCCTCCCCTGCTTTACATTTTGGTTAATTAGAGCCAGATAATGCCAGATAGTAAAATAAAGGGAAAAAGGACTGGCCATGGTGGGCCATGCCTTAATTCTAGCACTCAGGAGGCTGAGGCAGGAGGGTCACAGCAAGTTTGAGGCCAGTCTGGGCCACATAGTAAG